TAGTGTAGTGTAATGGGAAAAAAAAGAACTATATATTCACACATACTCATATTGGTAGACGGAGAGACATGAAGTATAAGTACCTGGATACATAAAAATAGATAAATAAAAGAATAATATAATAAGATAACAAAGGTAATAACAGAAATTTGTATATATTGTTTTGTTTTGTTTTTGTCTATGGGACCATGGGATACACAAAGCCACTTCATATATTGTATGTTTTTTTTTTTATTTTATGGATTGGGACAACGATATTAACTCCCAATTCTCCGACGCTTCAAATTTGTCACTGGAAATCACTAGCGGAACTAGCATTTAATTTTGGGGAGCTTCAGCTCGAAAGCTTTTTTTTTTTCATAAAAATTACGATAATTACTTTGGAAAAAAAAAAAAGAAACTAACTATCTATATGAAATGGTGTTTAAGTGATTCCTTATGTCCTTTTAAATGTAATTACATGAACAATAATACTTTAAGAGATAATTTTTTAATATATTTTTCCATAAAACATGGTTATATTTTAAAATTTTGGAGAGGGCTTCAGCCCGAAAGCCTTCCCCACCTTTAGATCCGCCCGTGCTGGAAATGTGATGAAATTTTCACGTAAAAATGGTAGGATGCACATGGATGAATCATGATATCCTTAGATATGTTGCTAAATATAATTATTTTAATTATATATAATTATTTTTGAATATCAACTAAAATTTCAATAATTGGAACATAGGGTATGGTGAAATATTTGCGTTCCTGTTTCCAGGCCTTAGCGTAACCACCTAGTCCTAATTTTCCCCAATTCATTTTAGTTTGCATATTGAATACATTCATGTAGATTAATTGCTATTGATTTGGAATTTCCTTTTTTTTATTTATATAATTTTTATTCATAATATAAACTTCCGATACTTCTTTCGTTTGTGGTAGATATTCTTCCTCTCTGCATCAAAATTAGAAAGTCTGGGCTTTTGTTTGTGTTGACTTCCTGCAGTTCATACGCCTTCAAGCAAGGAATGAAGTATGCAACGGTTGTTTGGCATTAGAAGACAACCGGTCTCGCCTCAGCCTCCTGGCTATCCCTAATAGATGGTTATCCCAACAGTGTCTGGAAACCACACAGAACTGCAGGGAACCACAGGACGATAAGAAACCTTATTGCATCTTAATAGTTCTTAGATTTGAAAATCCGGGATTGTAATAAATTAATGTAGTCATTCTTTTCGTCGGACATATCAAACATGCATTATTAATATTCTCTTTTTTCTTATTTAGAACATGACTGTATTGGAAAATGGAAATGATGCAAGGTTTTTCGTTATATCATAATTTAGGAAAACATTAAAGAATTTTGACAAATCACTGTTAATCGACTATTAATAAAAATTGAATGATCTTTAGTTTTAAGGGGAAGATAAATTGATTAAACAATATTATTTGCAGAGAATGTTTATGTAAAAAAGAAATAAACTATAAAATAGCACATAGGCTCAAATTTGTGTAGTTTCGTCTCCCCAGACAAACATAACAAGACAAGACAAAAACACTATACCTAAGATTATGACCATTAGATTCACTAGACGATCGCAACTAAAATTAAGTCAAAAAGATTTCAGTTATCGTCTTAGGCATTGTCCTCTCAAATCTTGGAATATTCATATAGTGTGTGTGTGTGTGTGTGTATGTGTATGAAATTAGAGTAACTACGCAGTAGTAGTAACAATTCATTTCAAGTACTACTCAATAACTGTTGGTGGTTGTATAAGTTTACTATACTCTCATATGTAATACTAGTCCCCCCTGTCCCATAATACTACCTGTGTGATAGAGAATGTAATAATATGAGGTGGATAGTGTTGCATTTCTATCATAGCGTTCTCAATTTGCCAGAATACCTTATTAATTGTTATTTCTTTTCAAGGTTTTTCAAGAAGTTTTTACAAGTTTACAAGAATTTTAATATATTGTGACACTAAAGTGAACTATCTAAAACACTACCTTTGGTTAGACTTTGAGGGACAAAAGTCTATAATCTATGTTATTGATAATAAAATATTTCTTTTTCACCCAAATTAATGAATGAATGAATGAACAAAAATTTTACTCTGGGACTGACGTCCCCTAAGAATAATAGCAGAGTTCAAGCAGAGTCGGTGTGTCCCTGGCCTGATCGAAGCTCTATTTTTTAAAATTCTAGCTTTGAAGAGGATCCCAGGGTTGACTAATAAAAAGAAAATACCGGGATCGAAACGTCAATAAACAGAAGAAATGAACATTCAATAGTTTATTAAATAATAATTAAATGACCTTACTCCCAATTAAATAGTTAAGTTTAAATTTAATACTCAAAGGTCGATTTAGGAAAAGTTGTAAATATATATATATATATATATATATATATATAAAGAGATAACAGGAGCTTAGCTTATTAAGCGATTATTTTACAAATTATACAGATTTTCATTTAATAACATAATGTTTTGAGCTCCTGTTACCTCTAAATACAAAATAAAGATTTTAGATAAAAATGTTTACAGGAAATAGTACATCATCTGCCGGTGGTAGCTTGATTTTAATTAGGTGACAGCAGTTATTTTTCGATATAGATATTTCCCATTGAATACAATATATTGATTATTATATTATATATGATGTTATTTATATTATATTGTGATACAATTATTATGAAATAGAAAAGGAAATACAATTTGACGTATAATGAAAATATTATAAATATAAGGCTCAAAATATTGTTTGGCTTATATGAAGCTGGACAAGTTGAATATATATTATGGTTATATGGTAAATATATATAAATGTGTAATAAAAATAATTGCAATTATGTAATAATATAAGTTGACAATAATGCCTTATGTTCCTATAATATAGATGTTTGAAGAAATTAAAAAAATTTCCGAACAGTGACTTCGTTCAGTTTATTTTAGGTTGATAAAAAATAATACAGTCTAAACTTTAGAATACAAATAAATTAAAGTTATACAATTAAAGCCCCCTGCTACGTCAGCAGTTAGTGACCAAATATGAACACATTACTAAACATTTTAATGATTTAAGGCATGGCCACAAATAACATCCTTCTAGGGGGATCAAAAGAAGACGGACGAGGGATCTTCTCGCTTAACATAAACATAACTAATCATGAACTTAACTATAAACATCAAAATCAGAGAGCAAGGGTTGCCGATGGACACTCCACTCCTTCATGTCCATCAATGTCTCATTCTGCATCAATAGCCTATATTTACTCTACATCAGTTCTACTTCCCGAGAGCAGAATCAGCAGTGAGTAGAGAGCCTTTGTATGCCAGGAATGGTAAGATAGATGGAAATCGAAAAAAAAAAATATCTTGTGTACAAAAATAAGTTTAAAAAAAAAATTATTATTATGTTGACAATATTAAAAAATCAAGTACGTACATCAGTAAGATTTCACTTAACACAAGTTGAGTAGAAAATATCATCTGACGAAATTGGGCTATTGCAAAAAAGTTCTAAATCTTAAAAAACACATTTGTAAATTTCGGCCATATTTATAAATTCAAAAACTTAAGACCACCAAAATACCATAATAATGAAGTACAGTATTATGTTATTTTGGTAGTGTCAGTAAATATTTTTTTTATTCAGACACATCTATTTATTTATTTTTATCACTAATCTGGCAAGCCATACAAATCATGAGGTGGTTTTAAAAATTTCACAAACTAAGCGAAACACAATTATTTGATTTATATAATAGTGACATTAACTAGGTACAGATTTTTTTTTTTTATTTCTCTTGTTACATGCAGTAGATTATAAGCATAAAAATAAAAACACTAGTGTGTTTTTCATAGTTTATAAAATGTCTAAACGGACCTTTAAGCTATAAGTGGTTTGAATAGAGATGAGGGATAAGATAATGTATTTTTTTCATCAAAAATCTAGAGTTCAATTAATAACTGTATAAAATAGTTGGAAAAACAACGGTTAATTGCAATTGAAATAACTGGTTTTCGAACAACCAGTCAGATACTTTTATTCATATTATGGATACCACTAGTAATCCGAAGCGTATATTTCTACAAACAATTGTTTTGTTCTTCTATTGTTACTCCAAATGTTACTTACGAGAGATCTTCGCGTTGGTGTGGACCTGCTTGATGAATTAGACGAGAAAAGGCAAAAATTAATTAGTGCCATCAAAATACCGATACCATCACGAGTCGATATTGTAAACATGTTTTAAACTAGTGATTTTGAAATATGAATATCGATATGAAAATTGATTCTCTAGCACATAGGTGCATCTAAAAAGATGTTACTTTCATTTTTAAATTAATAAATGGAACAATCAATCCTCCTACTGTCCTTGGTAAAATTAATTTCCTGGATTGTCTATCTTCGTCATTCACCCATAGGTCAGATTCAAGGAAATGCTAATTTATTTGCATCCCGCATAGATTTCTTAGCCAATTTGTGGTCTATGTTTGAAAAGATTCTGATTGAAAAAATTGGGCAAATTGAGTTTACACTCAGGAACCACCCGCTACAATGTTATTTATGTTCCAAATGAATGCATTTTAGTGAAGGTCTTGCGGTTATAAGTGTATAAGTTACGTGAGCTATCCAACTCTACATGAGAACAGACAAGATGAATATATATATATATATTTTTTCTAACGATTATATTCATATACAATCCCAAGAGCTTTCCGAAAGCGATAGCTTTAATTTTTATTTTTATATTAAAATATCGTAGGGGTGATATTGATAGTCGATGATACCTAAGTAGATGCCATCGAATATCGGAAGAAACATTTCGATATTATCGCCTCTCTATGGTCATCTCTGCCCATCATTTGTTCCAGCCCGGACAAACCTCCTAAATAGCGGACAAACCAGGATAATGATCTAACCAAGACAAAGATAGCCTTCGGAGATGCTACAAAAAGGATCAAAAAGAAGACTCCTCTGATTATTAGGTGCGAAGGTGAAGGGGTGACGTCAGAGGAGTGGGGCGCTCAGCTAAAGCTTAGTTGTCAGTGTACCTTCGGCTGGAAAAGTTAGTCTCCTGTGGTTAGTGTATCTGACTGTACGTATAAACAACTCTATTTCATTTCTGTCCATGGTTAAGACTATCCCCTTGTTTGCCATTTCTTCACAGTATGAAAATTATAAACCATCTTGAAATGTACCTTAAACTGTTGAATGTTAAACACCATGTGTGAATGTTATTTTAAACTCAAACTGAAAGAAAAAAAATCTAGATGTTTCTATTCACAGTGGCAACCATAACAATGCACAATTAAATAATTAAATTAATTTATCGAGGTTAATTCAACTCTTGATTTCTCATAACCTGTTTGATTTCTAAAAACAAATGCCCAAACCAAACCTACTCGTGAGATTAAACATTTTTAATGTCAGGAATTCAATAATTTTTATTACAACTTAAGCCAATTGAAAAAAAAAAAAAGAATTATATATAATTCGAACTTATCTTGTAATTGTTAATATCACCTTTGTATTTTTATCTATACAGAGGAATTATAGAATTATAAATATTTCCGAATTTATATTAATCAAATGACTAATACAATGTAACAATTTAGATTTATTTCCATACAAAATAATGCACTTAAATAAAATAAAAATTGAAATTACTCCAAAATTAGATATTCAAAAACATAATGATAAGTGTCGATTTTAAATAGTTAATGAATCTCAATTGGTAAATTGTTTTCGTAAATTATTACTAGGTAAGATTTGATTCGCAAAAGATAAATCCGGCTTCTACTTTTTCCTTATAGTGCGATCTAGCATTATTATACCTACTCATTCTAATTGCACCATTATTATTCGAACAATGAATAGCTACAATTTTTTTTGTTTAAATGATTAACCTATTCTTTTGATTTATTCTAATGTTTAGTATATAGTACAATGATAATTTTTCCATATTTAAAAAATAAAATATCATTTTATCTAACTCTAAACCGAAATCTCTAACTATTCCTGAATAAACCAAAAAAAAAAGTTCACCTAAATTATCGATTTTTTTACCATAATTATAGAAAAAATGTCTGAACAATTAGATCAAATTTTACCATAGTGGAATTATAAGCATTCGAGTATTTTATGAGGCCAATCCGTGGTTTAAACATTTATGGAACTTTTTTAATAAGTTCCATTTTAATATTTTCTGTGAAACATTTTAAAAAATTGAGTTTTTCGTAATGACCTTCTTGGCTTATGATAAAAGTTTTAAATTTTATTTATTTGAGCTCTTTAAAAAAAAAATACATTGAATGAGGATTAAGTAACAATTGCGCTTAGATCAGAGTAATAATAAGTTTGAGTAGCTTAGAATAAAAGTTGTTTTTAGATCATTTTTTTTTCTTTTCTGCGGAGTCAACAGAACTTTTAAACAGATTTTTTTTTTAAATAATAGTTTTGTAGAAAGTTTACTAGAAAAGTTGCAAGAGAAGAATTCCAGTTTCGAAATAACAGGAAAAAAAATTGAAAATTAAGATTTCAGTCATATCGATAATGATTAAAAAAAAAGTTTAACTTTCATCTGAGTCCGATAAAATTTATGAAAGTCTTCTTATTTAGGAAAGTAGATGTATAGATGAATAAATAAGTTTTATGTACGATGGTCACTTGAACTGCCTTTTTATTTTCGTTATCTAAAAAACATCGCTACCGTTATTGCAAAAGATCGCATGTAACTTTTTTACATGTTTATTATCTTTGCGCTACAGTACAATTATAAATGTACAAAGATTACAACTACTATAAGTAGTCTGCTAAATATGAAAAGAACATAGGGAAATAAAATAAGAAATTATATTAATATAGAAATAATCGGTTTATGTGATATACTTTTAAAAAGTCAATTTTTATATATGACCTTTTCCACTCACAATAGCGATATATCATCATAGACTTATTCCTTCTCGAAAAAAAAAAAAAAAATGATTACCACTGTACCAAACATTATCTGAGAGGGTATGGATGTATTTTGTTCTGAACGTCTAAAATACGACTGAGAGTGGTTTCGAGGATGTTCATTACATATACGTATGAGAAGCTTGTTCTCAATTACTTCTTGTTATTTCTTTTGTTAAGAAGCTTTTTATTTCAAGGCAATTATAACTTCCTTGTGACTTGAATATTTTTTTCCTTATCATATTTCTTTTCCCTTTTTAAAGTTTCGAGAAATGTTATGCCGTCATCAGAAGCTTATTCACTATTGTTGTTAGGCCCTTCTTTTTTTTTTTCTCTTATGCTCCATTTGTCATTTTATTGAATTTGTTGATTACTTTTTATAGTGGAAAGAATACAAATTACAAAAAGAAATTGAGAAGATTGTTTTTTCGCTATGGACAGCTAAAGCAGAGTAAAGAAGAGATCCGGTTGTGATGAAATCCATTACGAACTTGAACCGCTTAGAGAAATAATCAAAAATATCGTTTTACGCTGAAGTTCTGTAACTTTAATAGAAAAGTTTAAAATAGATCGTTTTCTCCAAAATGGATAAATAATCTTTTTTTGCGTGAAACAATTTAACTTAAGAGGCTGTTTGTATAGTCGGTTCTTTTTTAAGATTTGAAATTGTATTCTTCCATATAAATACTGGGACATAGCTAGTATACAATATTTGTATATATATATATATATATATATATATATATATATATATATATATATATATATATATATATATATATATAGTCCAATATACTACCTGATATTAAAAAAAAAATATTTTATTTTTTAATTTTTTAATGATATTTACAACTGTATAAAAGATATACATTTAGTAAATTTGAACACCTGGATATAATAACGTGAAAACACCTGTTGAGAAACTACCCAATGGTAGCACTCTAATGATATGTCTACATTACTAGATCACGGGGCCATCTTCTTTTCAGACGCCTCGGAGGGTTATCAGGAATTGAAGAGGAAGCAAGGTCAGAAACGAGAGGGTTCCTATGATTCTGAAGTTTATTATGGAAGGATATATAATTCTGGATTGGGCCAGATCTGAATCATAAGAAACATTAAGGTCGTTATGGATGATTTTGTTTGTGACAAAGTAAGAAGCTGTGAGGATCTTAAGAAGGATTTTGGATTGTAAGGATTGGATGCGAGAGGAATTCGATGGCTTAGTGGAGCCCCATAGCTCAACTCCGTTAGTCCAAATAGGCCTTATTATAGTTATGTATATGAGTCTTTTGTAATTAATTGGATGTTTAGAGCGATTGTCTAGTAAGTACTGAAGTAATCGGAAACGTCGAGCGGTTTCTTGTCGTTTCAGTCTGGTATCATATTTAAAAATAACCCATTCATTTTGCATGGTAGTTTTCAGAATATTTATTTTATTAACAAATTTTGCTTAAGAAACACACCACGGACGAAAACATTTAAGTATAACCCATATTACAAACAGTTGCTATTTTTCACCTGAATAATGTTCAAAAAATTACAAGGGGAGACAGGTCTACAGTCTTTGAATAACCGATTTCAACCAAATATTGTTGCTGAAGCCCCTTCCCAAAACGGTAAAATATAACTATGTTTAATGGAAAAAAATTATCTCTTAAAGTATTATTTTTCGTGTAATTACGTTTAAAAGTACTTTAGGAATCACTTAAACACCATTTCATATAAGTAGTTAGTTTGTTTCTTTTTTTCTAAAGTAATTATCGTTATTTTTATCAAAAAAAAGATGTTCCTCGATGAAAAAATATTTACTCTTATATTGCTACATTGTTTCAAAGTTTGGATACTATCTCCATATCGCAGCTATCTAATTTATCCGATTAGATGATAAAGTAATTTTACTCAATTTACTGATTTTTTTTAATTTTTAAACTTCGTTCTATTAACTACTTTAATCTTTTTTTTATGGTTTATAATTTCTTCATTTAAACGATTATTGTGTTTTTAATAACCTTTTTTGATTAAATATTCAAAAATTCATGTTAACCTTGGAAATGATTCCCTCCATATTAATTAATTGGGTTATTGCATTTTATGATGATCCATCTTTTGATCAATTATCATTGGAAATTTTAAATTAAAAATACTTTGAATATACCTTTTCTTCAATTAAATAATTTTAATTTCTACATCTTGTTCTATTTTAAATTTTATTAAATTGAACACGTTAATTTTAGCAACAGTAAGTCCTATTTGAAAAATTTAAAACATCTGTATTTGTATCTGTATTCTGTACTTTTAAACATCTTTCATGGTATCAAGCAATAAAACTGAAGAAGTGTTCTGCCAAGTCAGTTACGTTTATTTTTTTTTTTTAATTTGCTTTGGTCTTTTCTTCATCTACACAAATTTTGGATTTCATGAACTAATCACACATTGACCGCGTAAGATTCAAAATAAAAATAATCGATACATGTTTTTTCTCTCTTCATACTTCTATCCATAACTGTCATAATCTTTAATTGATACCTGAGGAAAATATTTTTCTTCTATAAAAACGGCTTGCCATTTGCAGTCTACCGAAACTTTTCCACCTCATCTTTTAAAAAGAATTGACGTAATCCAAACAGATCTAATAGGAGATAACATTTTTCATACATAACATGTTTATACATTTTTGTATGTGTATAATTTAATGTTTCATAATGCTTCTAAAATATCATTAAATTATAAACAAAAATGACAAAATTATTACTTTATATGCTAATTCACGATTTCCAATTGATAAATATATGTAAGACTAATTATCTTTTGTTATTGAGTAGAGTAAAAAAAAAAAACATTTCTGGCTCCTGTCTAAAATTTATAAACTAATATTTATTAATATTATAATATTAATAATTTCACATTACATTGCATTTTACTTTCTTTTTTTTTATTAGGAGTTTCCACTAATAATGGATTTCCTTAACCTAGAGTGCTTTGATGGCTCCTTTCCATAATGTCCTATTAAAGGTCCATTCTTCCCGTAGATCATGACCCATCATGGATTCCTCCACTTCCTTATCCCAGGACTTCCTCGTCTTCTTCTTGCTCTAGTTTTCCATAAGTTTTTTCTCAATCTCTTCCAAAATGGTTCTT